TGAATAGTTATAGGCAGGAGTCCCAAGCCTTCCCCCTCTTAATCTACAGTTTCAAATCCTCCCTTACTCCCACTTTTTTCTTTCTCTGAATAAACTTGGTGGTACAAACAAGTGCCGCCCTTCCGTTAGGTCATTGTATATTCATTTTCACATTGCTTATTTTTTCCTGTTTGGAACACAAGTCACAATGAACACCAGAATGTGCCTGGGTACGGTGCGCCAGTTGTGTGGTGAAGTGTTTGGTACTTTCTTTGGTTTGTTTTGGGGCTACACTGGGCAGTCTTGGGGCTTACTCCTGACACTGCTCAGGGATTACTCCTAGCAGGCTTGGGGGACCTTATAAGGCGGTGGGGATCAAACCCAGGTTGGCTGTGTGCAAGGCAAGCGTCTTTTCCTCTGGACTCTCTGGCCATGAATGTGTTGTATTTATACAACATACACAATTTATATGTGTAGTTGATACCTGAACAACTAGGATGTCCAAAGCTCTGCTCCCGGGGCACTTGGATAAGGGATTTGAGATGGGTGACTACTTCGGGAATAAATGCAGTCAAGGGCAAGCATGGGCTCTTGTGACCAAACATTGAGCTGTCTTGCCCAGTCCTTGCAGAGTGATGGTGGTGGGGATTTTCTCTGAGGATGACCCTGCAAGGCACAGGGGTGAGCTTTACATTGGTCTTGCTCAAACCTAGTTTGATTGCTAGCATCACATGGTGCCCTGAACCACTGCTGGGAGCAGCAATCCCCCAAGCACAGCCCCCATGTTCCACCAGGTATGGCCTAAGAACGACAAACAAGATGAATAAAAATCATCTGATGATCAAACACAGTGGTTGGGTGATTTTTTGTTTTGGTGTTTGGACCACACCCGGTAGTGCTCAAGGCTGACTCCTGGCTCTGTGCTCAGGGGTCCTTATGTATGTGGTGCTGGGGGCTGACCTCTGGTGTTGGCCGTGGGCCAGGCAAATGCGTTAACCCATACTCTCTCTGGCCCTTGGCTGATTTTGTACCCTTACAGCAAATATCCACCATGTCTACAGAGATGGAACTGTACTTTAGGGAAACAGCACAGACCTCATTCTTTAGGTCTCCAAGTCAGAATGTTTGGGAGACACAGACCCAGGCCCTTTCCTGTCCACAGAAGACCCCCACCCCCCAAACATTTCAGAAGCCAGTGCTACAAAGGGCTCTCTTCCCCTACCTAGGTAATGTGAAGCATCTGGTTCTCTTCCTCCACGAGGCTGTCCTGGTGCAGTATGTGGACACCCTCAAGCTTGCAGTGCCCTCTCTCATCTACACCTTGCAGAATAACCTCCAGTATGTGGCCATCTCCAATCTGCCAGCTGCCACTTTCCAGGTGAGCCTCAAGCCCAGCAAAGGAACTGGCTGGGGTGGAGGATAGGGGATATTGGGGTGGGGGTGGGCAGGAGCAGCCTTGGAGCTCACTTAATCTGAGTTTGTGAATTGGAAGTGGAATAGGCCTGGGAAGCTGGGGGCACTTGAAGGCATAATAGCTGCTCTGAGACCTTGGCAGTAGAAAAGTTTGAGGCTGTTTGCAGGCAAGTAGCCTGGGGAAAATGGGTTCAGGAACCTGGACCGAGGAACCATGGAGATGGGTGAAAGACTGGATTGCATGTGTAGTCCACGGGGAACCCACATGGTCCCCCAAGCAATGCTAGGGGTAACCTTTGAGCTCTGATGAAGCTGGGAGGCCCCAAAACAAAACAAAACACGAGCCAAACAGGACTGGAGAGATAGTATAGTGAGTAGGGTGTTTTCCTTGCACATGGCCAAGCTAGGTTTGATCCCCAGTATCCCATATGGTCCCCAGAGCACCGCCAGCAGTAATTCCTGAGTTCAGAGCCAAGGAATAATTCCGAGCATTGCTGGGTATGGCCAAAAAAAGTAAAAATAAATGGAGATTAACCCCCCTCCCAAAAAAAACCCAAAAACAACCAAACACAAAATCCAAGTAAACTTGGGTTGAGGCTGTGGTACCTAGGTTCAATTCTCAGCTCTCCTGCTTCCCAGCTGTGTGATACTGGGCAAGTCATTCAGTGTTTCTCTGCCTTACTTTTCCCATTCTTACCTTGAATTTTACAATAGCACCCCCTATGAAGTACTGAGGCCCATGCCTGACACGTAGTAAGGCATTCTTTAGGCACTCCTGCCTCACAGATTCTACTGCTTTTTTTTCTGGTTGGGGGCACAGTGGGTGTGCACTGGGATCATTCCCAGTAGACTGTGGAACCTAGGGGGTGCTCCGCCATACTCCGTCCCATCTCTCTGGCCCTTTGATTCCCCCGAGCTCTTGAGCATCAATGGTCAGTGGAAGGCTGGGATCCTTTTTGTTTGTTTTGAGCCATAACCGGTGGTGCTCAGGTCTTCCTCTTGGCTCTGCTCTCAGGGATCAGGCTTAGTGGGCTCAGGTGACCATACAGGGTGCCGGGTATCAAACCCAGGTCAACTGTGTGCAAGGCAAGCACCCTACCTGTTGTACTATTTGCTCTGACCCCCGGGGGAATGGCTGTTTATACCCACCAGGGCCTGGGGTGTCTCCCATGTCCTGTGGGCCTGCCCTCAGTGTCTGCTGCCCCCAGGTTACGTACCAGCTGAAGATCCTGACCACAGCGCTGTTCTCTGTGCTCATGCTGAACCGCGGCCTTTCCCGATTGCAGTGGGCCTCCCTGCTGCTGCTATTCACCGGTGTTGCCATTGTGCAGGCTCAGCAGGCCGGAGGTGGGGGCCCACGGCCCCTGGACCAGAACCCTGGGGTGGGCCTAGCAGCCGTCGTGGCCTCCTGCCTCTCATCTGGCTTTGCGGGTGTATACTTCGAGAAGATCCTCAAGGGCAGCTCAGGTTCTGTGTGGCTGCGCAACCTGCAGCTGGGCCTCTTCGGCACGGCCCTGGGCCTGGTGGGGCTCTGGTGGGTCGAGGGGGCAGCCGTGGCCCGCCATGGCTTCTTCTTTGGCTACACACCTGCTGTATGGGGCGTGGTGTTCAACCAGGCCTTTGGTGGCCTACTGGTAGCTGTTGTGGTCAAGTACGCTGACAACATCCTCAAGGGCTTCGCCACCTCCCTGTCCATTGTGCTGTCCACTGTTGCCTCCGTCCGCCTCTTTGGCTTCCATGTGGACCCACTGTTTGCCCTGGGTGCCGGGCTTGTCATCGGGGCCGTCTACCTCTACAGCCTTCCCCGAGGTGCAGCCAAAGCCATAGCTTCCGCTTCCGCCTCCGTCTCGGCCAGCGCCGGGCCCTGCACTCACCAGCAGCCTCCAGGGCAGCCACCGCCACCACCAGCTTCCTACCGCGGAGACCTCAGCATGGAGCCCCTCCTGCCCAAGTCAGTGCTGGTGAAGTGAGGGCTGGAGGCAGTGGGGGGACACTGGGTGGGGGACTGGGTGGAGGGTATGGGCAGTGGCAGTTGCCAAGTCACTACCGAGGAGCCTGTCTCTCTGCACTGGGCAGACTCTTCTTCCACGGCCATGGAAGGTGGGCATCAGGCGAACCCTTCCTCAGGTTGTAAGCTGGCCACTTCTGCCCTCATATCACCCCTTTGGGGACAATCAAGGCCTTTTATTTTTTGTCCCACTCAGCCAGCAGTGTCCCGTCTCAGGCCAGGGAGCGTCCCTCCCAGCAAACCCTTCCCACTGGTCAGGACACAGATGCTCCAGCTTTCTGATTACAACTAAGGCCTACCTGTGGGTCCAGCTGCCCAGAGCCAGAGGCCTTCTTCGCCCTCACTACCACACTGCATCAGGGTTAGTCGCCCAGGTCTTTCTGTGGTGTTCTGGGTGCCTTCCCTTAACATGGAGGCTCCTTGAAAACAGGCCTCTTGCCAGCACCCAGGGAGATTAGGGGCCAGAGCTGAGAATTTTGGCATCTGCCAATTTCAGGGGGTGGGGAGGGGTGGCTAGGGGAGGGTGCCATGGCGGCCCTTTGTCTTTCCATGGTTAGGGGCTTTGTGGTGTGATCAGGTAATTCACAATCCAGGGTGTGGGCAAAGCAAGGAGGGGAGATGGTTAAAGCAAATGCGCCATTGACTCTAAGGACACAGTAAGCAGCCAGGTGCAGGGGGGATTTTCAGAGCCATCCTGAGGAAAATAAATGCTGCCAACCACATCTGTGCTACCCTAATGGCTGCTGGAGTCACCCTCATTCATGGGAGGGTGTCTTAAAATGACTGACATGTGGAACCTACCCTTTGCAGTCCCCAAAGCTTATTAACCCCTTAACTGTCTCCCAGGGGCGCGTATGTGTGTACGTGTGCGCGTGTGTTTGTGTGCGTGTGTGCGTGCACTTGGGAGATACCTGGGCTGTCTTTGCTATCTGTACATAGGGCCATTGGATCTTTATTTTTGATTAATTTGTTCTGATTCTTTTTTGGGGGTGGGGCGTTGTTTTTCTAAAGAACTGTAATGAACAAATGTCAGGATACCCAATGCCAAATAAAGATGTTGTATTTATTTAGTCCACGTGTAGCTTTCTGACCCTCTCTGCATGGGCTGTGACTACTAACTCTAGAACTACCAGCTTCCTTCCCATTGCCCTCGCTTGCTCAGGGTGCACACCTGCCAGCCCGCCCCAGCTCTGTTGTTTTTCTTTCCTCCCCACCCCTACCACAGGTTGCTCACCAAGGTGAAGGGTTCGTAGCTGCTGGGATCGACGACACTGGTCTCCGTTCTCCCTTCTCGCCCAGGCCCAGCCACAATCCAACTCTGATCAGTATTAGGGGTGGGAGAAGGTAGTCACTGACCCACCCTCCCCACCCTCCCCCCATTCCCTCCCAGAGGGTTGACCTATGACCAAACTCGGTCTGGGAATGAAGGCATGGATAGGACTCACCTCAGCCTTCAGTTCCTGCTGTCCCCATGTCCCGTGCCACCCCACACATTATTTCTTAGGTCTTTTTTGGCAAATAAAATGTCTTTTGCGTCTGGCTGATTTGGGATGGGAAACCTCCAAAGCTGGAAGGAAGAAAGCACTCCAGCCCTTTGGAACATGGTCCACCAGTATGCTTTTTTATTAAAAGCCCACCCAGAGTAAGAGATGGCTGAGTGGGCAGTGGAGAAAGACTCAGTCCTGCTGCTTGGTGCGGGAAGCCTCAGCATTGGCCCGTAGCACAGCCCCTGGGGATGGGTAGGGGCGCTGCTGGAAGAGGGGTCCCGCTGCAGTCGTGTCGGCGCCTGTCTTGGCCTCATTCCTCTTGGGCAGTCCCGTTGACCAGGTGCCCCTGGGAGTGGAGGGGATAAAAGGTCAGGGTGGAAGCAGGCAACTGAGCTGATGAGGGGGGAGGAAGATAAGAGGAATGGGAGGGTGGTGAGTAGGAAGAGCTGTCACTTACCGGGGTGCATCTGAGTATGAGCTGGGATCCATTGGGTCTAACTCTTCATCCTTCCGGCTTGCTACAGGAGAAAATTGTACAGTGAGGTCTTCGATGGAGGTACAAAGAACCCTTTCTCACCATGACCCCTCCTATGCCAGGAAGGCATGGATCTGCAGCACCCCTAGCCCTCCTGAATGTATGTGCTTTCAGGACCTGAAGGCTTCTTTCCCTGCAACCCCCAACCCTCTCTTGCGCACCCTCTCACCCTGAATCTGCTTACCCTTTTTGCTCTTGGGGTAAGGAGCTAGCTCTTCCCGCCGATGGTGGCGCCGTTCCTTGCCCTCATCCCGCTCTGACTTGTCATGGGTGCGCTCTCGTTCGCGCTCACGTTCGCGCTCACGTGGCTCCCGCTCTCTCTCACGGTCTCGCTCTCTCTCACGGTCTCGCTCCCTCTCGCGTTCCCCTTTGTCATAGCCCCGCTCTCGCTCTCGCTCGGCCTTCTCGTGGCCCCGCTCAGCCTTCTCGTGGCCCCGCTCTGCTTTCTCGTGGCTCCGCTCCATCTTCTCATGGCCCCGCTCTGACTTGTCGTGGCTCCGCTCTGACTTCTCTTCCACATCTGTGGTACAGCAAAGTTCTGAAGTCACCTTCTCCTTCCCACCACCCAACCAGCAGCCTGGACCTTCAACCAGCTTCCCAGGCATGGGGCGGGCATGCATGCCTCACCTGTAGGAATTACATCTGCCAGCTTACCTGCATTATTGCTTCTAAGCTTCTTGGCAGATTTGGTAACAATGGAGTTGGGATCATGTGGGGAGAGCCAAGACACGAGGTCTGTGTCCACATTCCAGTAGTAAGGGAGCCCACTATGGAGCGTGAAAGGGAGGGAGGGAATATCAGTAGGCTGGTCTTCTCTCAATTTCGGTTTCCCCAGTCTCTTGAATGCATTGGTCCCATGTCTCAACCCAACACAGTGGTTCCCCTGTGTCCCCCATATACGCCACGAGCAAAGATATAACAGACAAAAAGGAATGGCAGAAATCAGCAGCCCTCCCCTCTCAGGTCCCCAAGGCTTACCAGGAAGGATCAAACACCTTGTACCAGCTTGGTGGCAGGCCCTCCAGTCGGGTGGCCTCATAGTCCACAGGATCATCATCATAGTCCTCAGCAATAATCTCTTCCTCTGGTTCTTGAGGAAGGGAGAGGAAGAAAGTGGTAAGGATGTGGGGGATTCTCAGGCTAAAGTCCAGGCCTAGAGGGACACTCATAACCACAGATACATGCGTGCCTGTGCTTGGTGAGTTTGCATTGTGTGCATGTGTATTTGTGCACATGAATAGGCTCTCGTGACAGCTTGCACCTGCTGTAACAAATAGCACATTCCCCATCAAAGCCCCTATCGGGCCAATGGGACAAAAAATTAGCTATATTTGTTCTGTTTCTGGATTCAGGGAGTATGCTACTACTTAAACTGATCTGGTTTGAATGTTGAGACAGGATTCACCAAAGACTACATCTAGAGAGTTCCTTATTTCAGAAAATGCACACCACCACACTATGCAAATCTGCTGGGATAAAATGCATGTCAACAGCAAGGTGTTTGGGATGGAGCAATAGTATAGCAGGTAGGGTGTTTGCCTTACATGCAGCTGACCCGGCTTTGATCTCCAGCACCCCATGACTCCCAGAGGAATGTTTCCCTGAGCCAGGAGTAAGCCCTAAGCAGTACAGGGCATTGTGGCCCCAAAACAACAAAAAAGTGTTTTTTCTGGGGGAAAGCACACTAGCAGTACTCAGGGCATACTCTTTTTTTGCTTTTTGGGTCACACACAGAGATGCTCAGGGGTTACTCCTGGCTCTACACCCAGGAATCATTCCTGGCAGTGCTGGGAGCCCATATGGGATGCCAGAGATTGAATCCGGGTCAGTCAAATGCAAGGTAAATGCTTTTTATATCCCTCAGGGCATATTCTTGCCTCTGTGCTAAGGGATCACTCCTGGAGGAGTTTGGGGGACTCTGGTGCCAGGGATCAAATCTGAGCCATGTACAAGGCAAACACACACCTTACCTTCTATAATATCCCTCTAGCTCAAGAGCAAGGGTTTTATTTGAGAATAGTCAAAGGGATTCTGCTCCCAAGTTTGTCAAATAGGGGTTTTCTGACTGGCCCACTGAATAGTTAAGAGTTTGGCAAGCAACGGATTTGGATAAAATCACTGCTCAGAATCCACTCATTTTTTTGAAGTTGGCAACAATTGTAGTTGAATATTGGTGCATTCAAATTTAAGGTGTACATTCTCCTTCAGTAAGCCTAGCACAAGTTTCAGCTGTGGCTGTAACAGTGAAATGTCTGTCAGCAAAAGCAAAGTGTCGTCACAGTAGGCCCCAAACAAAAGGCCAGTGATATCCTTGATATCCAGTGGTATTGTTAATAAGATAAAAACAAAAACAGTGCCAGAGTACATTTGCGTTACAAGCAGCCAACCTAGGTTCGATCCCTAGCATCCCATATGGTCCCCCAAACAGTTCCAGGAGTAATTCCTGAGTGCAAAGCCAGGACTATCCCCTGAGCATTGCTGGGTGTGGCCCCAAAACCAAATATCCAACAAACAAAAAGATAACAAAACATGGGTTGGAGCGATAGCACAATGGGTAGAACATGTGCCTTGAAGATGGCTGACCCAAGTTTGATCCCCAGCAGCACATATGATCCCCCAAGCCCCACCAGGAGTGATCTCTGAGCACAGAGCCAGGAGTAAGCCTTGAGCACTAACAGGTTTGGTTCCAAAACAAAAAATATTCATAAGCCTGTCAGTATAAGCATCTGGAGAGAAAGAACAGCAGGTAAGATGGTTGCCTAGGAAGTGGTTGACCAGGGTTCATCTCTAAACATTGCCAGGAGGGGATCCCTGAGCACCACTGGGGGTGGCCTCCCCAAAACCAACCACAAGCAACATGTTTAAAATATCAGTGCCTGTTGTCAGTATTACTAACCATAAGATCTTGGCCAGGCACATAGCTTCTAGTAGATATCACGTCAATAAGGTGAATTAGGGGCCAGAGTGATAGTACAGCAGGTAGGGCATTTGCTTTGCATGTGGCCAACCTGGGTTTAATCCCCAGCATTGCATACGGTCCCCCAAGCACTGCCAGGAGTAATTCCTGAGTGCAGAGCCAGGAGTAACCCCTAAGCATCACTGGGTGTGACCCAAAAAGAAATAAAATAAGGTGAAATACCTGGGACACTTTATTATCAACAAGTGTATAAGCACAGTAGGTCTAACAAATCAGTGCTCAGTATTTGATACAGTTAAGCATGTATATAACAGGGGCCATAGAGATTGCACAATGGGTATGTTCTTGCCTTGCACACAACCCAAATGGGTTCAATTCCAAGCATCCCGTATGGTCCCCTGAACACTTCCAGGAGAGATTCCTGAAGTGCAGAGCCAGGAGGAACACCTGAGCTCAACAGGGTATGTATCCTAAACCAAAAACAAACAATCCCCCCCCCAGAGGCCAGAACGATAGCACAATGGGGACAATGTTTCCCTTGCATGTGGCCAACCCTGGTTTAATCCCTGGCATCCCACATGGTCCACTGAGCACTGCCAGGAGTAACTGCTGAGCATCGCCAAGTGTGACCCAAAAAGACAAATAAAAAAAGAGAAAGAACCCTGTGGAGCTGTAGAGATAGTTCAGCAGGTTTGGTGATTGATTTGCATGCAGCAGACAGGGTTTGTTTCCTGGCATCCCATATGCCTCCCCAGTGCACTGCCAGGAGTAATTCCTGAGTGCAGAGTTAGGAGTAGCCACTGAGCATTGCCGGGTGTGACCCAAAAAGAAAAGAAAAAAAACCGTGAATGACACAACCACTTCAAACTGTACTTTTGATACCGATTAACGGGCGAACAATGAGACCCAGGTCTCTAGGAAAGTATCAACATCACGGCAGAGCTTTAAAAATGTTACCAGTATGGTACTAGTACTGAAAGGATAAACGTCCACCCCTTCACTTTACAATTTACTTTGTAATTCTTTGGAAACCTTAGCGAAAACTGCTACCCCCAAGACATTCACATCACCCTTCCCATGCCTCCCATGCCAGTGAACGTGGATCGAGAATTTATATCAGAATTGAAACACCGGCCACCCTTCCCTCCCCCTGGTGTGCAGTTGGTGCATGCTGGGCAACCAATGCCAGGTTCAACAACAAAGTGCTAGTAAGTCTGGAACATGGAGGGGGGCAGGCTCTCTCCTTTTAGTTCTCTTACCGGGCTCCAAATGTTTGAGAATGCCTCTCTTGGCCAAGCGGGTCTGCAGTGCTGCAGGCAGTGGCATGGCCGGGCGGCAAGACAGTCTAATCTAGATAGACAGATGGACATTCTTAACAATCAGTTTAGCTCCAAGGATTTGAATCTTTATTCTGTAATCAAGCACCGCCCCTCCAGCAAATACTCTTCTGAACTCAGCTATCCCACTCTGAAGCAACTGGAAAAATCTACATACTGAAATACACAGTCTCTCAGCAACCATCCCCTCCAGGCTAGTTGTTTCCCGCCCGGTTCTTATCGAGGCCTTAGGCTCCCACCACCGCGGAAGGACTTAAGAACGGCTTCCCCCCGCCTTACGAATGGGCTCGCCCAACACCCCCAGAAACGACTGCCCAGTGGAAGAAACCAAATCGCCGGTAAGGGGGGGAAAAGTACAGTTCCTCCTCTATCATCCCCCGCATACATACGCCTCCAAATTACCAATTCAGGCAGAGCAAGCACTAGAAGTATGTCACACCAGTTTCCTCCTTTTCTGGGCCGCTATGATCACCAGAAGGTCAGCTCTCTTCTCCAAAAGTACAAAAATGCACTTCTTTCCTCTAGAACCTTGTGGTAACTGGGCGACACTCAGGCTGCAGTTAAAAGATGACGCCAGCCTCGATATCCAATGAGAGTGTGTTATTGGCCTAACGTACAGCCAAATGGTCCAATCACTGGGCGGGATCTGATAGCCCGCCGGGCGCGCCGTGAACGTTTAGGGGCGTGGCACGTCTGGGGTTGGACTGACTACGCGGCCGGACGCGGCGCCATGGAGGAGTACGCTCGGGAGCCCTGGTACGGAGCTGGGTACAGGCTTCGGGACTGTTGCCACGGCACCACAGCCAGCAAGGGAGGCGGGCGGGGTAGGCACTGGCCACGCCACGTCCTAGTCGCAGGAGTGGCTCGAAACTTGCGTCGTCTTTCCCTTCCTCGCCACTTGGTTCCTGCCGCTCGGTTTCCTTAAGAGGAGCTAACGGATATGTATCAGAAGATGCGGTGTAGGATGGAACCACTCTATGTTTCCTTTGACGCTGTGTTTTCCGATTCCTCTTTGCTAATGATATAGTGAATGATACGGTGACTGGGGCCTTTACACGGGGATCGGGATGTTGCTAGGTGGAAACCCCCATGGTTCCCCGTGGTTTTACCCGGGACCCTTTAGCGAATAGGGTGGGAGGGGCTGGGCCTGGGTGAGTCTATTGTGGGCGGGAGGTGGTGCCGGTTTCCCACACCCTCCACCTCTACCTACCTCCGCCGATGGCGCTTGGTTCATCCCGATTGCACCTGGCATAGAGGGGAAAGAAGGCGGGACTTGATTGGCAGTTCGGCAGAAAAACGTGCGTCTCTACCTACTTAGCACTTTTCTTGGCAACGGACCTTAGTGTCAGGTAATTTCATCTTTGCTCGTAGTAAGGCAATTGACTGAGTGGCTTGTAAAGGGAGGGAGAAAGGACAGGACGAAGAGAATTGAATTCCCTTTGCTTTTTTTTTTTTTTTGGTAGAAATGCCCTAGTTCTTTTTATTTGAATTTTTTTCTTTGCTCTTTTACTTATTTTTTAAAACTATTTACAAAGTTATTCATCGTTGGATTTTAGACAGCGTTCCAGCACCATCCCACCATCAGTGTTCACAGGTTCCCTCCCCCCCCACTTCTATTACCTTTTTTAAGTTTTGTTGTTATAATCTGGATTTCATGATTTCAGTTTTGTTAACTCTGTGGTTTGGGTATTTATCCATACCATTCCTTTACATTACGAATATAACAATCCCCTTGACCCCTGCTCCCCCATTTCCCATTTGTCTTTCCTCACCCCCCCTTGATTTCATTTTGTTTTCTTTTTGTCCCACACCCAGCGATGCTCACGGTTTACTCCTGGCCCTGTGCTCAGGAATTATTCCAGGCAGTGCTCAGAGACCCATATGGGATGCTAGAGATTGAATCCCAGTTGACCCCCTGCAATGGAAATGACCTACCTGCTTTACTGTCTCTCTGACCCCTCCCACTTGATTTCTTAACTTCACTTTCCTCTTTCCTATACTGTGGGGCGAAGGGTGATGTGGGCACCCCTCCCCCTTTAAAACATTGCATTCCCTTGTCCAGTTATTCTAAATACCACAGATAAGTGAGATCATCCTATGTTTATCTTTCTTCTAGCTTAATTCATTTAACACGATATCTTCCATTTCCATCCATGTTGCTGCGAATTTCATGATTTCATTGTTCCTTACAACATAGGTGCTGGTTCATTCCAGCACCTCATGCAATCCCCCAAGCCCTGCCAAGAATGATGCCTGAACACAGAGCCCCCAAAGCCAAAACCAAAAAAAAAATCACGTTCTGTAAATGGTACCTCTTGATACCTCAATGAAAATGGACCAGAGCCATTTTCAGCAGGTACAGCAGGTAAGGCCTTTGCCTTGCACATGTCTGACCCGGGTTTGATCCCCAGCATTCTATATGGTCCCCTGAGCACTGCCAGAAGTAATTCCTGAGTGCAGAGCCCGGAGTAACCCCTGAGCATCGCCGGGTATGTCCCCAAAAAAGCAAAAGAAAAAACTAATTGTATTCTTCTCATGTGACCATGTGGTGCTTGAGGAGTGTTTCACTTAGCCTTCCTTTCCCTCCCACCCCTCTTTGCAGCCCCTGGCGAATTGTGGATGACTGTGGTGGCGCTTTCACTATGGGTGTCATTGGAGGTGGTGTCTTCCAGGCCATCAAGGGATTCCGAAATGCCCCTGTGGTGAGTCTTGCCCTTCTGGGGAGGGTGGGGAGATCCTGCCCCATTCACATGAGACTTCACTCAGAAAACTGCTTGAGACTTCTAGATCTGTGCAAGTGCTTGTTCTGTTGTCTCTTCACCTGCTGCCCATGTACCTGACCTGATTCCCAGATCTTGGGTTTGGGGAGAGCTCCAAGCATGACTGCTGTTCAAACAAGTGGTCATCAGCAAATCCCAGAAGAAGAGTGGGTGCAACTTTATAGAATTTTACCTAGAGGCAGAATTAGAAATCTGCTGCTGTTTTCTGTTTTTTTTGGGGGGGTGGATGGGCTGGGGGGGCTGTACCCAGCCACTTTCAGGGCCCTGGTGAGGCTAGGGGGATCAGATGCATGCCCAGTTAAGCTAGGATTGGCTGCCTGTAAGGCCAGAGCTGCACCGCTGCCCTGTCTCTCTGGTCCTTCAGATCAAAAATCTGAATAGAAGTGATTGGTTTAATTAGTTAATATTTAAGTGTGATTTTTTTTGCAGGGGTGTGTTTTTTTGGTTTTGGATTTTGCTCACACCTGGAGGTGCTAGAGGGACAGTTTGGTGTTGGAGATCAAACTTGGGTCTCCTGCATGCAAAGCATGAGGTTTGAAAATGGAGAAAATGCCTTTTGATTTTACATAATTCTATCTCTTTCAGGGCCTCCTACTTTGGGGACCTTTAAATGCCACCTCTTTTGTTTGGGTCTCTGTAATTGCTCTATCCTTACCCCACCCTTTAACTCTTTCCCATGTTCCTAGCAGTCCCTGGAGTTTCAACCACTGTGCCCCCACCTTAGAGGCCTTCCGTGACCCTCCCAGATCTCATTTGGTTTTCTGGGGGAGGGGACATACCAGACGGTGTTCGGTGCTTACTCCTGGCTCTGCACTTAGAGATCATACCTGGTGGTGCTCAGAGGAACCATATGAGGGGCTGAGGATCAAACCCAGGTTAGCCACGTGTAGGTAAATCACCCTACCCACTGTGCTATCTCACTGGCCTCCAGATCTTACTCCTCTTCCTCAGGAGTGCTCTTGGTACCTAAAATGCTCTTGTTTTTCTGCTCCCTTACTCTGAGTCTATCTGTTCAGCTGTAATGTGAACTTGGAGGGAGCAGGGCTCCAGCCTACCTTGTTCCTTGCTATATCCACACAGGTGCTCAGTGATCATGGAATGAATGAATGAATGAATGAATGATAGATAACGCAGCCTGACTCCGAGAAAACTCATGTGGAGGTGCTTCCTAGACCCCCTGGTTCTTGGTCCCTTTTTTATCACTACCTCTGGGATAGGTCCCTATAGGTTCCTCACCACTTCCTTTCCTTGAGAGGTGGAACCCCTGCTTGTCACTTGTCTCAATGGGCTTGAGCCAGCTGAACCCTACCCTTCTCCCACTTTCTTCACTTTCTCTCAGGGATTTCGCCACCGCCTGCGAGGTAGTCTCAATGCTGTGAGGATTCGAGCTCCCCAGATTGGAGGTGAGAGATTGAGGGAGACATGGGCTCTGAGGGGACCTGGTGATGGTTCCTTTGGGTCTAGATTGCTGGCTGGGAGTCCAGACTCCAGCCTCAGCTCTGCCTGGGGCTTTCTGGAGGCAGTGACACTTCCCAACAATTGGAGAGGGGTCTGAGGTTGAGCCCCAGGTGCCTATTTGTCACAAGGTGCTGATCTCTGACCTGCTGCCACTGGTGAGCACTATGTCACAAACACCTCCTTTGTTTCATAGTGGATATAATATTGCTTCCTAATTAATGGAGACACTGTACCTTCCAAGTATCTGCTTCTTTGCTCAGCCCTTGATTTTCCTCCCTTTCTGGTTTTTGGGACTACACCCGATGATCCTCAGAACTTCCTCCTAACTCTGCTCTTAGGCATTACTGTTGGCAGGGCTTGGGGGACCCTCTGAAGTGCCAGGGGTCGAATCTGGGTTGGCTGTGTGCAAGTACCTTACCCGCTGTACTATCTCTCCGACCCCTGTTCAGCACTTCAGTAATATTAGCAATTGGAAAATGGTAGCAGATAACACGCTATGCCTAGAACTGGTCCCGGCACACCATCAGGCAAACATTGGCACACACATAGCAAGCATTGATTGGCTTTTCCTAATGCAGAACTGTGGCTTTTCTGGATGTTTCCAGGAATCTTATTTCAACCTCATTCCTTCCGCGCCCCCCCCCCCCCCCCAGGGAGCTTTGCCGTGTGGGGTGGCCTGTTCTCCACCATTGACTGTGGCCTCGTGCGTGTGCGTGGCAAGGAGGACCCCTGGAACTCCATCACCAGCGGAGCACTGACTGGAGCCGTGCTAGCTGCCCGCAGTGAGTGGCCCTGTCCCTTCCTCTCCCTCCACCCCTGATACTGCCGACTCTCACCTCCCTTGCTCCCTGCCTTCTCCTTTAGGTGGCCCACTGGCCATGGTGGGCTCAGCCATGATGGGGGGCATCTTGTTGGCCCTGATCGAGGGGGTTGGCATCCTTCTCACTCGGTACACTGCCCAGCAGTTCCGCAATGGTGAGTCCTTTGTGGTGGCTGGTGAGGGTAGCATTCTCCGTTTCCTCCCTTTGTGCTTACCTGATTACTCTCTCTCCAGCTCCACCGTTCCTGGAGGACCCCAGCCAGCTGCCCCCCAAGGATGCGGCTCAAGGCTACCCGAACTACCAGCAGTATCACTAAGGAGGTAGCTGGCTGGCACCTCCACCATGGGAGCCCCGCTTCGGTCCCCTCCCCTGATCTACCTCGAAGGGAGGGCTGGCTCCTCGTTGGCCCTGGGGCCTGTTTTTACTTTGTCCCAGGGGGATGGGGCACCCCAGCTG